TAATATAAGAGGACCTCCGCAAGCGCCTTCTCCTCTTCTATCAGTGTCTTTCCGTGTTCGGATATCAAGGGTTGTATATACGTACAATATCGTATCGTAGAATAAGAAGTTAGAAAAGGATAGAAGGAAAAAAGAAAGCGACCGAGAGAGAGAGAGAGAGAGAGAGAAGTGTTGAGGTTGGTGTGCTAGGTCGCGAAATTAGAACGTTGCATTCGTGAGGATCGCAGGTGTTTCTCCCTTTACCTCTTTAGACTTTATGGGTATGTCGAGAAAGGGGTGTAAGGGTGGGGTGGGGTGGGGTGAGAACGGAGGAGGACGTAGCCATCAATAGGAATAATACGAGGAACAACTATGCGACGGCAAACCACCCTTCGTGCTGCATAGCTAGAGAAATGAGAGTGTAACGACCTTACACCCCCTCAGGTAGAACAGGATCGATGAGCTCTCTCTCCCACTCTCTCCCTCTCTCTCCCTCTCTCTCCCTCTCTCTCTTTCTATCTATCTATCTATCTATCTCACTTACTCTCTCACATCCACTCATCCACGACTCGATTCTCTCGCACCCCTTTTTCCTTCCACCACCTTCTCCCCCCACCCCTAGTTCTTCTCTTCCACGGATTGACTGCTGCCAGCGGCACAACCGCGGGTTGCCCTACTTTTTGATCACGTTTCACTACCCACCACGAGTCTGCTGCCTTAGTTTTTACTGCATTTCGAGGCCTAGACTTCTTCTTCTGCATCCTCTTTCTGCTTATTCTTCTTTTTCTTCTTCGAGCTACTTCGAGATCGTGGGTTTGAACGATACGTTCGAAGAACGAAATAGTAAGGACTTATTTTTTTCCTTCGATAAATTTCTAAGTTATGTATGCACATGGATGATTATTGATGGAAAGGATTATATTATAAAGATTATATGAATGATAGAAAATTTGTTAAAATATGTTGAACTTATCTGAAATTTATAATATATTTATAGGTTTTCGGTTATGATATTAAACCACACATAAAATGATTTATTAATAATAACTAATAATAATATTATAAACCATTATGTGAAGAATAATATTTGGAAAATAGGTGTGTTTTAGAGCAGAGTCCGATATAATTTTTTCCAGCACTTCCAACAGCTCGAAAAGAAAATTCTTTAAACGGAGAAATCATCTATGCTCGTAATCGTCAACGAATTTAAAAATAATAAAAATTGTAAGAATAATATTTATATTCACTGAGAAGTCGTAACCGAGTCTTCAATTTTTTTTTTTAAATAACACCATCTAACACTGACGATAAAACAAATTGTGTTCAATACGTGTGTTCAATAATTTTGTGAATAAAATTCATTTTAATGTAATAAAGGTCCTTATGAACGCGAACAAGTTTGCTGTACCATTGACACCTACATTTTTCATGTTAAAATGAATAAAATAAGTGCACAGAAAGTGCAGTGTGATAGCATTAGGTAGGCGTGAAATAATGATACAAAATAATCGCAAATTAAGCATATAAAAATGCGCAACGTAAGGTCACAAGAAATGCAAAAGTGATGATACAAGGTAAACATAGGAATAATGTGCTGTAAAAGCAAAATAATGTGCTATATAATAAATGCAAAGCAAGCGCAAACTAATCACAAAATAATTCTATAACGGATGCACATAATAATCGTATTATCAAGTATATATACCATAGAGAGAAACAAACGGACTTAGTTAATCAAAGTTGTTTCTTTCTTCCCTCGAGGTATAGCACCAAACCGTGAAATCAAATTGCCGAGCTAAAATCGTTTCAAATCCTTTCGAATCCACCGCATCACAACACGCTTTACGTTGAAAAGGGCTTAAATGATTCGAATTTCAAGCTTTCATTCGGTAATAGACTTTTTCGATTTATAATTAGTCGAAATTTTTTACGAAAGATAATAATTATAACTAATCGATTATCCTTTCTTTTTTTCTTTTTTTAAATAAAGGCATCTATATAATTAATAAAAACAATCGTACCTTTTTTTCTTTTTACTTATTTATAATAAAGATTGAAATATTGTTCCATCATAAAAACATAAATTTTCATATTTTATAATTGGACCAACAAGATACGGATGATTACGACACGTTGACGATCAGCATTAAGACGCCATCTTTGAGGATGTAATAAAAATATGATGGACGACATCACGTAATGTTACAGTTTGTTGCTATATCAAGTTCATTATTATTTATTATAATTATGCAATATTTAAAGACCGAATTTTGATATATATATATTGTTAATATTAAAGTTATACGTTTATATCCTCAATGATTAGCTTGTAGTTTATTCTTCCAGCTTCGAATCATTCTTATTTCATAATCCTCGTATCTAACATTTATACTATTTATTATATATTCAATATATTATTATATAACTTATATAGACGAAATTGACAACTATTATTAGACAGGTATCACTTCGATGAAAAAAAACAAAGTATTACCGACAAAGAACTATTAACAAATAAATTGCAACATATGTAAATTTGAAGTTCAAGCTTAAACTCGACCATTCGATTGAGTCAAACTGTATTTCGACCACGTTAAAAAATTGAAAATATTATTTCAATCAAATTAATTTTATTTAAAATACACATTTTTAATAATTTATATTAATAAACTTCAAGTTATTTAAATAAAAGCACATTTATTTGAACATTATATCATTTTTAATACAAGAAGTGATCATACGATATTGTTTGTGTAAAATTTCGTTTGGTGTGAATTTAAAATTAGAATTTTACCTTGACAATAAGGTAAACAAAACGAAGATAAAAAAGTAAAGATCGCAGTTCATGCAATTCTATATTCAGTTTTTTCGATTGCTTTTACATTCATTTAATATATGTATATATATATATATACAGCATTAATAAATAATCTTTAATAGTCGTCAGGTTTATATTATACAGCAGCGCGTTTATTTAAATATTAAAAAACATTTAATATTAATATGAATAATATATACTTGAAATAGAACCACAATAGCAAATTTTCTACATTTATGTATTATGGAAATAACATAGATTTAATTATTATTTAATTATATTTTATTCAATAAAATTCTCTCTTCTTTTTTTTCTTCTGTTAAATAAATTATTATTATTTTTGTACTTTGTATAAGAGCAATATTAAAAGATTGATTTGTGGAGTATACTATATAATATCTTAGTATTCGTGTTACATTATTTACTATTATACACACTGTGTACTATAATTATTTATATAGAAGATATCAAAATTACACCAAAAAATGTATAAAATTTGATAAAAATATTACAATAAATACAAACAAATTATATAACAGGTATGTTAGATTTCAATCTGGCTAGACTTAGAATAAAAATCTTGTTTATCTTATGTATTTTTTACATTATCAATAATAATCAACTATATAGCAGGTCAATTTTCTTGATTGCAATCTTAATCAATAAATGATTGTATATAAGTGTTAAAGCCTTACAAGAAAAAGTTTCAATTATATTTTCATTGCACTTTAACAAAGTTATCGTGACTATCATATTGAACTCCAAACGGAGTGTTTTTTTAGTAAAGAAATTTTTTTAAATGTATAACAATGTATTCATTATGAATGCTATAAATTTGTTTACCAAGTCATTACATTTACTTGATCAAAATAAAATGCAAATGGAATAACTCGATTATCTTCATTAAAAGTCTTATATTAAATAGTAACAAAATGAATCACATTTTGCATTAATATAAATTTCATAACTTTGCAACTTTACTTAGAACCATAATAAATCCTCAATGTCTTCTAGCTATTTTCTTTTCCAGCTTTCGTTGTTTTTTCTCATTAACTTCTGACTCTTCTTGAGGCGAAGAAAAAAACCATGGAGACAATATTTGTTTCCAAAGCATCCAACCTCCTCTTAAAGGCACCTATATAATTTATAAGAAACAATCATACCTTCATTTATTTTCTTTTTACTTTACAAAGGAAATTCCAAAAAATATTTTCATTATTAAATGAAATAATACGTACCAAAAGCCATAAGAGCCAAAAGTAATTCGATACAAGTGAAAGTATTTGTACTCCTGATGTTAATATAATCAAGTCTTTAACATGCCTACAATATTAAAAATATTATAATTATAAAGTTTACAATAGAATACTTCTAGAAGAGAAAAAGAGGAAAGAAGACAATAGAATACACAACAATTAATAGTTGTTATTATAAAAAAGATATATCTGTGTGGAAGTAACTCACTCTCCAATACCACCTTCTATATTAAGATCTACTCCAGAATCTAAAAGTTGCCCGGATTCTAAATAAGTTGCACGTGCCATATATGTCATAAATTGATAACTTGCAACGTATACAATCGTAGAAAAAATTGTTAATGTCTATAATAATATGGACATTATGAAATATACTTCTTAATATGTAAAATACATAATAAACGAAAAATAATAACTATACTTACTATTATTAAAGTTGTAAATTCAAAGAAAACTAACATAAAGATAAAATATATTCCTAATGCTCCAAATATCATATTTCTGTAAAAACTTAAAGTGGAAACATTTTCTTCTACTATCTGTTTAGCACCTTTTGTCGCCACTTTGGATTTTTTTGTCTAAATAAGGGAAAACAAGTTTTCATAAATATAAATAGCATTATATGATGTACAATACGTATGCTCAATAATTAAATATTTTTTATATGAAAATGTAAATAAATTATGAAGAGAAAAAAAAAGAAAAGAGAATAAAACGTGTGAAATAATATCATTATATTTACCGCCATTTTAATTTTTTATAAATTACACTATCTGTGACGTAATATCTACATAAATACAAATAATTATTATAACGCTTCTCGCACGAGGCTAACCTCATTCGTATTTTGTACCGACAGTCCATGACATATCAGATTAAAATGAAACAGAAGAAGGGATACTGTATAGTCTGAAATTGACCATTACCAATGGCGCCATCTTAATTTTTTAAGATGGATCTACTCTTCCAAGAAGTGCAATCTATGGTAAAAATAGTTCAACAGATAAATTATCAACAACATATAATTTGTAAAATAAAAAAAATATGTATCTAATTAAACACATATATAGTATTGAAAAAAGTATTTTATTTCAAATGTAATTGATTTACAAAAAATTAAATTTCTTCCTCGTATAAATATTTTTTACGATATCGTTGGAGTGCTCTTCTGATAACATTCACTGTAAAATCTGCATCTTTCTTTGTAACACACATTGGCGGTGTTATTCTTAAAACCTAAATTAACGATAAACATTAATAATACGTATAACGTAATACAATTACAACTTACATTTGCAAATAATCCACCCTTTCCCACAAGTACGCCCATATCTTTGATATCTTCAAATATGTCGCGCATATGTTCCTCTTTAATATATTTCTTTGTTCTACTATTTTTTGCCAATTCTAAACCTATCATAAAACCCTTTCCTCGTACGTCACTCACGATATCCGAAAAATCGTGAGTTAAGGTACTCAATTGTTGACACAGATAAGTTCCAGTAATAAGGGCATTTTTTTGCATACCTTCATTCTCAATTATCTAATAACAGAAACCACATCAACGAAAAAAAAAATATATATAATTATCATTTGTGAATTCAAACATCGATAAATGGATTATTCATAATTATAGTTTAAATACAGTAGCATACATCAAGCACTGCTGATCCTCCAGCACAAATAATTGGATTCCCAGAAAAGGTATTGAAATGAAGTGCTCTCTTCAAGCAATTAGCAATATCAATAGTAGTTGCAACTGCACCAAGAGGAATTCCATTTCCAATGCCTTTTGCCATTGTTACTATGTCAGGTTGAATTCCATGACTTTGAAAACCCCAAAAATGATCGCCTGTTCTACCAAAGCCAGTTTGTACTTCATCAGCTATACAAAGACCACCATTTTCGTGAACAATCTCATAAATTTTTTCTAAGAATAACCGTGGATATTGTATGACACCTCCGATACCCTAAACAAAAAATTTTGAAAATGTTTAACAAAAATTATGCCATTTTTTGAAATAAATTTTATAATTAAAGCAAAAAATATATATTCAAAAACATTCCATGTATATTTGTATACTTATAAAATAACGATTTTAACAGCATACAAATTCTTAAGATATTGTTCGAATATAAACTCCCACGTGTCATCGAATTTTAGCTGACAGGAGAAAGCGTACTGGAAAGACACGGGTGTAATTTTCGGTGAGGTCATTGATCCATTTCTCCGAAGACCACCGTCTCTTCTTTTAACGAGTCTTTTACCGACTTACTTCTTTTAGCGAACGGTCAGTTATTCGTGTTCTTTTTACGAGACTCAATGATTTCGCAAGTGTCGTGGGTTTTGTATATGTATATATATATATATATATATATATATATACCAATTCTGGCTTATTTATTTTTGTTTTTTTTTTGTTTTCTTTTTCTTTTCCTTATCGATGCACTATAATTAATTATATATATATTTACATAAATGATATTACTTGAATACTTTCTGCAATGAATGCAGCAACACCTCCTTTTTTGGGCAAACTGTAACGAAAAGTGTCTTTAAATTCTTCTAAATATTTAGTGAGTAAGACACATTCATCGTTGCTGCAACTACAGGTGTCCTTTACACCCGGAACAGAACAATCTTTGCATTTCGAATTGCAGGGAAGATATTTCTGTAAGCCTGGATTACATACCTAAAGAGGCAAACATTTTAAATAATTTTGTTGATATTCGTGTTGAAAAAAAAAAGTCTTAAAAAAATGATTTATTTACGAACGTGTATATGACCAGGTGGTTGTGAAATAGCATATTTCCATGTGCTTAAAGCAGTCGTTGCCGAGGTTCCATAAGTACCGCCATGATAACAATTATTCAATGAAATGATATTCTGTTCGCCAGTATAAAGTCTCGCCATTAGATATGCTAATTCATTAGCTTCGGAGCCACTATTGACGAGATAAATGACTCGAAGTTTTTCCGGCAATTTTGCAGCTAATTTTTCTGTATATTCGTATAAACTAGGATGCATATAGAGTCCTGATACATGGCCAAGCTTTTTCACTTGATCCGATATCGCAGCTACGATTTTTCTGGTATATAATTAAATATATCATATACTTTATATATATAAATTTATTAAATTATTTCTAATCGTTCAGTCTCGTCACAAAAAAGAAAAATTGAACTTAAGAAAATCGAGAAGAAAAGGGAAAATTTTAANTTGCCCAAGTTATTCTATTCGGGATCGTCAATATTTGAAGAAATTCATTTGATTTATGATACTAATTCGAATAATATAATAAATTGATTTTATATTTTTATTATTATTTATATTATAAAATATATAAATTATAAGATAAATTTTTAAAAATAATTATTTACTTTATAGATATAGATTTAAATTTTGATTATAATCACTTACGGATGACAATGTCCTGTAGAAACAGTAACGATACCACCGAACATATCTAAATAACGTTTGCCATCGTGACCCCACACCCATTGATTCTTTCCTTCGTATAATAACAATGGCTTCTTATAATACATTTTATAACTAGGTGATATGTTCGATTCGTATGCGGCTTTTACATTATCGTAACTTGGTCCCTTAACATTAAAAAATAAAAATAACTTACAACATGTATGTGCGTGCGTGTGTAAATAAATTTTACAAACCTACCGTATAAACAGACGGTATATGTTGATAAGGTGGCATTTCTAATTGTTTATCCGTATTTAACAATCTAACATTTCCCTTATCTAATAGTTAAAAGAACAATTAGTTATAAACGAGTTTTTGATATATGTAGTACGATTATAATTTTATCACGATGAACACATTATATACGGATGACGAGAATTCTAATCTTTACATTTCTATTGATTATTTTTGCGCAATGGATAATTCCCTTCTTTATTTGATCTCTAAATTTAAGAGTAAAGATAATTTCAAAGATATAACATAAATTCCTTACATACTAATTTCATTTTATTATCAAAATTGTTTCTTTATATTTCAATGAAATTTTCTTTACTCCATATTATATTACAAAGAAAAGAGAATACTTTTGTCTTCTCATAAAATATCTCATAGCAAGATATAAATAAAATGAAATAGTTATATCCTGCATATAATATGTTACATTCGATTTAAATAGTTATATATCTATATATATATATATACTTACATGTTTTAAACGTTGCATTTAAAATATAACGAATGTAATATAATTGACGACTCATACTGTAATACATGATTTACAGTATCACGTTATTATATATTTGAAAAACTTGTGAGAAGAATTGATTTGATACGTTAAAATGATCGTTGTTTTATAAAGAATAGACAAAGTAAACGCACTATCGGAACAAGTATTAAGTAAAGACTTGTTAACTGTCTTAACAACAAATTAATACTGAGGCTAAAGAATTCAAATGATTCACATTTTCGATTCGCAAGTTAAAAATATTCATCGCATACGAGTATATTTACATAGGAAACTTAATAGAAAAAATCACGTTATATCATTGTCCTTATTTAAATGTCCCCTTAGTTGTCATGTAAAACTGATAAATGCAGCTACGAAATGTGAATGAAATTAACACTTTATAACCCATCGCAGGAGGTCAATAATACAATGCGTTTACATACCAAATGAATAGACAAGTATTGTGGTTTTATCGCGCGTGTGTTTGAAATTATTTTCAAGACAATATAGAACACGATATCGTTTGATATCGTATGACATACTCATGAGAAAATAAAATGATTGATAAATCTTACATCCGTGTTAAAAATTCGATTAGAAAAAGAAAATTTCAAGAATAAAAAAGAGCATCGTTACGAAAGCAGGTCAAACTTTACGACGCTATCATCTTTGTGTATTATATATATAAAGGGGCAAGAAGATAGAAGTTAAAGATCAGTGACCTCTCGATCCACGTGCCACGTTGTTTGACATTCGATGCAGATGACATAGGAATTCTTCAAGGCCGAATATTCGTTAAGCAACTAGCTTTCTCTAGTTCATCCTATAGCCCCTTTCGATCTTACCTACATCATAATAACTTTCACATGTATCTGTGTGTTCTAATACATACTTACTTTACAACGATAAGATATATACAACTCAGAATTAACTCTATCATTATAACATTTTATAATGTAATGTTAATAATTGTTAAATCTTTTACAAAAATATATATACATATATATTTATTTTATTTGTAAACGTTCGAAAAGATTTCTTTTCCGCTTAAAACTCGACCAAAAATATGATACCACGAGTGATATTTTTTTCTTCTTTCTTCGTTTTTTATATACCAAAGAAAGATTGAAACAGTAGGGAAAAAATGCAAAAAAAAGAGACAAAATAAAGAAAGGAAAGAAAGAAAGAAAGAAAGAAAGAAAGAAAGAGGCACGCTTATACTCTTTTCCATTTGCCATTTTAGTTCCGATGCGATCAACGAGTCGTTTCTAAGGTCGTCGCTTGGCTTGGCATAGCTTAAAACAAGTCTTGTTGAGATTGGTCAAGGTACGACATCGCGCTCTAGACTCGTTCTCGGTCCCCCCATTTCGTCTCCCATTCCACTGTTTCCCCTTGCCCCTTACTCCTTCTAGCCCTCTTCTCTTTCGGATTCGAGAGCGACCAAACTCTCCTAGAAACTGGTTCTTCTTTGAAAGGCCTCCGTGCGCGCGCGCGCACGCGCGCACACACACACACTACATCAATCTCTTTCTCTTTCTCTCTCACACTCTTTACATCCTTTTTCTCCCTAACCCCTCGGCCTTTCCCACTCTTTTTGGCGAGCGTTTCGTTGGCAATCTCTTCTCCTGTAGCCCGGGGGACGTACGAGAGGAACCTTGTGAAACCTTCGGAGCCATTGAAAAAAATTTCTTGCCACGTTGCTCAATATTATAGGTATACCTATATATATATATATATTTATTTATTTATTTTATATTAT